ATGTCCAGCTCGGTTGTTTCAAGAATAAATAAAACACTAAATAGTAGTACACTGTAAAGTTATTCAGTAGGGATTTTAAATAATATTATAGATATTATGAAGGTACAGGAAATGTAAGTCAATATAAACTTATATATATATATATATATATATATACATATATAATATATGTTTATATATATATATATATATATACATATATCATATATGTTGTGTGTGTGTATAGTTCGTTATTGGTAGTATAAGTCACTCAGTGGTGTGTCCAGGTGGGAGAATAGAGGTTAATCCCCAATCATTTTTTATATGTGAGCCGTTAACATCAAAGTATTCAGATTGAATTATTCGGATAATTTCACTTACACAATGACAACTTAAAATAAATGTATTATTAAAAATCTTTATTAATGTCAATATCAAGTATAATACATATAATGTTAATATTTTAGCAGCAGGAAAAAAATTGAAATCTAAATTCCAATAATAATTGTAAAAACAAACATACAGTTCTACGAAAAAGAGAAAAAATTTTTTTTTTTTTTTATTGAAACTTGGCCTAATAGACAACAGTTATAATAATAATAAATTTAAAGTGCTTCGTCATACAATAAAACAATAAAAATACTAAAATTACCTATACATACATTAAAAAATGATAGGAAAATATAGTTACATTTAAAACGTTTATTTTAAATGAGATAAGTATTAATTATTGTAATATTCAATATTATATGACTACATTGTAATACTATATTAAGCACTCTAATAAAAATTAGTAAATACTAAAATATTATGTTCAATTTTACAAACTTAATAATAATTAATATATGTAGTAGGTACCTGCACAAAACCCAACATGTTAAAAATAACACTACAGTAACTTCAAATTTTTATTTTTGACAATATTACGATTTTCAAGTAACCTGTTACATTTTAAAACAATACTGTTCAATCAATTTTACCACAAGAATAAGAATAATGCAAATCAACTTAAATACATTTTATCGTTACTATGAAATATAAAATAAAATTGTGTCAAACAAAATATGATTAATTATGATGTTGCTCTAGTTACTGATTAAATATTATAATAGAATATACAAGTCACAACAATATTCACATTTTCAAAAAACTTCAAAAAGTCTAAGAAAACAATAAATGACCATACCTAAATAAGTTTCATCGCCATAAATTGGATTTAAAATTCCCCGCCCACCTAAAAGAACATAATATTTTAATTGGGACGCAGAGTAATACAAATCATTAGGAAAAAAAATAATGAATTGAACAAAATGCATTTCGTGTGGTAATAATCCTGTTACACTCTGTATGTCTATAAACCATTCTGCAATGATTCAGTAACTTAATTATTTTACTTAATTATTAAATATTAATACACAAATTGTAAGGAAAAATATGTAGTCTTGAATATTGTCTGTTATCATAGCAAAGTAAATAGTGAGGAACTACTTTATAACTGATCAATTAATTATTTCATCATTACATTACTTGAAATGTTTGTAATTTATAATTTAAATAGCTTTTTGTGAAATATTTAATGAGCACAAAAAACATTTTTAGAAAATTATTGTTAATAGGTATTTGTAAACAAAATTTTCACCTTTATAAATTACAGTCTAACACTATAGACTACAACTAAAAGATGATCAACTAAGAAATCCAAGATGTACAAAAGTAAACAAATTAATCTTTTACTACAAAAAGCGGGTAGGAAATAAATAGGCTATTAATCAATAACAAAAAAAAAAAATTAACTTTATGGATGATAAAAAAGCTTAACAAATATACTTAAAAGATGAAATCATCAAAGTAAAACAAAAGTTTTTTTTGGTTTCCTGTTTAAGTTGTCAGACATCATAATGTATTTATAAACAAGTTGCAAAGGTTAATTATCATTTAACATTTATCTGAAATATTTAACATTTACAGTATAACAATAAAACAATTAGAGTTGCGATTATTACTCCTAATAGTTTATAAACTTAGAGGGCTTCAAAAAGATGTTGATAGTTATATTTTAATTTTTATCAATCATTTTCAACGAAAGTATTGAGGTCCAGATAATCTTGGTTGAAATGTTTCAAAAACGGTGTAAGGTTTTTTTTAACTGAGCAAAAATAACTAGAGCTACACATTTTGCAGTATATATAATCTGCATGTGAACTTGGGCTACTAACTAGTAACTTGGGCGATACCATATTAACAGGCGACCATCAAAAGAATGTAAGCGAAAATAATTGTTATACAGACCTCACCTTAATTTTAATGATGTTATTAATTTTCCTTAGATTTTGAACTTACAGTGCAAAGTAATACATGACCTGGTGATCCGCACTTTATGGATTTCAAANGTTTGATTAGAAATACTAAAAAGAACTAAGTCTAACATCCAGCATTAAATTATGTGCAAATACTGCAGACAAAAACAGATTGTTCGGGGCAAACCTTTCAACTAGGACTCTCAGTAGGAAGGTTGAGACGAGAGTAAGAAATTTTTATTAAAAGTTTTATGAAAAAACTATGACACTTTATTAATATGAATATAAATATTTAATTTACTATGTTAAAAACAATAGTTAATTTTTTTTTTTTTTTTTTCCATCAGTATCATGTTTTATAAAATAAATGTCGAAAAAGTTGAATTATTTTAATAATAAGTTATTATAATTAATACATATTATATAAGGCGTCACATTACGTTTAAGTTGCATATTATTTTATCCAGTTGATATCATATGAATCACACTGATAAAATATTTCTGAATACGTTACTAATTATTCTACCAATGTTTTATTAATCATCAAAATTGTTGTTACAATATACTGGAAATATTTAAAACGTAAAACAAACAAATCTAAACAAAAATGCCAATATTGACAGTGGTTAAAATAATAAATTTAAAATTCATCAATTTTTTATTTTTCTGACAATTGCATCATACAATAAAAAAAGAAAAACACTAAAATTACCTATACATAAAACAATGATAGGATAATATAGTTACATTTAAAACGTTCATTTTAACTGGGTATCAATTATTGTGATAGTCAACATTATATGAACATATAGTAACACTATATTAAGTACTCTAATAAAATTAGTAAATACTGAATATTATGTTCAATTTAACAAACCGTGAACGCCGACATAATAATATTATTAATATACGTAGTAGGTACCTGCACAAAACACACCGCGTTTCTCTTAGATTTCGTCACAGGAGTATTATTCCAATACCCACGAGTTTCAATAAAATTCACCCATAGACCTTATACTAATAACGTAATGTAAAAGCTTATGGTTACACACAAGCAACCTCACACCGGGTTTTTCTGGACCACTTTGGGAATACCCAACCGGTGGAGGGGCCGCGGACTTCGCTCGTTGACGGGCCACGGACAATTACACGATACACAGTTGTTTGTACCATGGAATCCTTATTTTTTTAAATATAATTATTAATATATAGGTACCCGTAACCAAAATTTTTTCGAACGGACCGAAGACATTGTTAATATTTTTTTTTTTTCTTTTTTTTTTTGAAATAAAATACGTAGTAACAATACGCAGTCGAACCATCCCGCTAATCTGATTCGTACACCGGCAATATACCCAGTGAAGTACTTATGAAATGATACACAGTATTATTGTCACGAAAGTCACATATAGATAATGCAATTGTGTAAAAACGAAAAACAACACGTGCGCCGGTCGGAAAAAGTGACACAATTTTCGCCTGTTCCATTTAAGGTGTACACAACTATCCACTACGGGTAGGTATAGGATTATCGTTTGAATAGAATACATTATTGGTACACCACAAGCAACCTCACACCGGGTTTTCTGGACCACTTTGGGAATACCCAANGCTGCATGGGGATCAGAATACATCAGCAGAGTACTCTAATAAAATTAGTAAATACTAAATATTATGTTCAATTTAACAAACCGTGAACGCCGCCATAATATTATTAATATAATAGTAGGTACATGCACAAAACACACCGCGTTTCTCTTAGATTTCGTCACAGAAGTATTATTCCAATACCCACGAGTTTCAATAAAATTCACCTAAAGACCTTACACTAATAACTTAATGTAAAAGTTTATGGTTACACACAAGCAACCTCACACCGGTTTTTCTGGACCACTTTGGGAATACCCAACCGGTGGAGGGGCCGCGGACTTCGCTCGTTGACGGGCCACGGACAATTACACGATACACAGTTGTTTGTACAATGGAATTCTTAGTTTTTTAAATATAATTTTTAATATATAGATACCCGTAACGAAAATTTTTTCGAACGGACGGAAGACATTGTTAATATTTTTTTTTTTTTTTTTTTTAAATAAAATACTGAGTAACAATACGCAGTCGAACCATCCCGCTAATCTGATTCGTACACCGGCAATATATCCAGTGAAGTACTTAGGAAATGATACACAGAAATATTGTCACGAAAGTCACATATAGACAATGCAATTGTGTAAAAACAAAAAAAACACGTGCACCGGTCAGAAAAAGTTACACAATTTTCGCCTGTTCCATTTAAGGTGTACACAACTATCCACTACGAGTAGGTATAGGATTATCGTACGAATAGAATACATTATAGGTACACCACAAGCAACCTCACACCGGGTTTTCTGGACCACTTTGGGAATACCCAACCGGTGGAGGGGCCGCGGACTTCGCTCGTTGACGGGCCACGGACAATTACACGATAAAATCAAAACGGCAAATCGTCCGGCGACGTACGCATTGAATAATACGAAAATATAATCGTTTCGGACGGTCGCGCAAATGCACAAATATATTAAAATTGTGACGAAAAAAAAACCACGTGTGTGCCGGCCAGGACCGAGTATCGAATAGGTATTTCCACATACATGGTACTTACTGCGGGTTCGGTGTGTCAGCAATGTAATAAACGACGAAATCGCCGCCTTCCGTCCGCTGTTATAGACCCAAAAATAATTTGTCTCGTACGTCAAGACATTAGAGGAGAGAAAAATTAAAGCCGTTTCGGACGCATAAAGAACGAGTTCACCGATCGGCGGACCAGAGCAAATGAAATAAAAGCGATAAGGAGGACCGGACGCGGTGCGCGCAGCTATGCGGCGGCGACGACAACCGCGCTACAGTGCAGCAGCGGACACGAAATGGGAGAAAACTGGTCGCCCGCGGCCCGTACGTCATACTTATTTATGTCTATTATAAATAATAATTAATCACAAATTATACTTCTCGACGATTTGTTGTGCAAATTTATCTGCCAGAAATCTACATGGAACAAATCATATTGAACCAACGACGGAAAACTATAGAGACATACCAAAATTTTAAAATAAAATGAACGATAATAAAATATCTGTGTGTTACCATAGCTCCTACTGAAATAATCAATTCATTTCGGAATGAAATTTTGAATTGGCGAATTATTGAAAAATAATATATGACAAATGTGTAAAACCTTGTAATTTAATACATTTAATGTATTAAATATTTATTAAAATGAAATAATGTACTAGAGATGTTTATAATATAATAATGTTTTAATGTAATAATGAGAACCTTGAAATAAATTCTTTTTAAAGTTATTTACTATGTGTAGCTTTGAAAAATTGTGTTTGCCATATTTTCATTCATTGGAAAAACGTCAGGACTCAGAAAACTTTAAAGTCAATAATAAGCACACTTTATTTTTTTTTTCTAACATCTTAATTATGTNTAGAGATGTTTATAATATAATAATGTTTTAATGTAATAATGAGAACCTTGAAATAAATTCTTTATAAAGTTATTTACTATGTGTAGCTTAGAAAAATTGTGTTGGATGTGTGTAGGACATCCAATTTTGAGGAGTTTCGCGAATCCAAAAATGTATTTAACATTAAAAACATGCCGCTTGTAACTTGTAAGGGAGTATACTCGTACGAGTACACGGATAGCTGGGAGAAATTGGAAGACGAAATTTTACCGGAGAAAGAACAATTTCACAACACGTTGACCGAAGAAAATATCTAAGATGCGGAGTACATTCATGCGAAAAACATATGGAGCTATTTCAGCTGTCGTACACTTGGTGAGTACAGTGACCTTTATAAACAAAACAACGTTTAAACACTGTACCTCCTACAATGAAAACCTGTGTGCTGTATCGTTGGAGAACAAAATTATACATTTTTGCAAACCTATCTATATTGGCTTTGCTGTGCTGGACATTTCAAAAACTCTATAAAATTTATGTACATCGATACAGGTAAAATTATTATTATTTTTTTTTTTTCTTATACATATTATATTGTTTTTCAGATTCATTAGTGTATTACATTACGACTAAAGATTTTTACGCCGACCTGCTGAGTAAACCCAGGCTGTTGGAATGTACGGACACGGCTAACCTACCGAGAGACCACTCGTGCTATGTAGCAGAGAGGAAGAAAATACCAGGTCTTTTCTCAGATAAGTCGAATGGACAAACCATCACAGAGTTTTGTGCGCTGCGTGCCAAATCTTATGCATATAAGATTGATGGTAAAGAAAAGATCAAGGTAAAAGGCATCCGGGGTCATGTCGTTAAAAATCATATGACATTTAACGATCACAAGAAGTGTCTGTTTGGGGACAACGACTTGGATGTGTATAGAGAGAATATTTCCATCCGTTCATTCCACTACCAGCTCAAAACCATCTCTGCAAATAAACTTACATTCAACAGTTTTGATGATAAGAGAATTATATTAGAAGACCGTATTCACACATTAGCCCATGAGCATTATAAAATAGATGAAGTTTAAAATAAAATATCGTTTATCAATTTTTTATCTGTATAAACTACCTAACAGGAGTGTGTGTGTGTGTGTGTAGAATTTTTGTAAAATATAATTTAATGTAAAATATAACTTATTGTAAAATATATATAAACACCATTAACAATTAGATTTGACATTTTTAAACTTACCCCAATCCTTTTCTTCTTCACCATAAAAGTTTTTAAAGAAAACCCGCCTCCTTTCCTCAATGTTCACCTAACCTAACCTAACGCTTCTAAATATCTGTTATGGAATACAGGTTTTTTTTTTCTTGGTTTATTATATTATAAGATTTTAACTGCTTATTTTAATTTAAATTCTTATACAAAAATGTTAAAATTATATAAATTAAATTAATCCAATAATTGTTATGTACATATGGTTTATGAGATGTGACACTTTGATATATTAAATATTAATTCCAATATATATGTCCTCTATCTGATTTTTTAATATATATATTTTCATATATTAACCTTAAACTTAATTCTATATCATAGACAGCATATTGAGTAATAAGTGATGCTAAATAATTTATTTTACTAAATTTTAAATAAATAAGATTTTGAAATTTCATATTATTAACAAGATGGTATGTTTTACAAAATATTCTTTCTTTTTTTTTTATGACACTACATGACATAATTTTCTTTTTTTAAATCACACGGGCCGCAAGATCTGTGAAATAGCTCAGCAACCAGTTCGCCAAAAAGCAACTCCATAATTTCCTGAACTGATATAATATTATTTTACTTAAAATAATATATATATATAACGCCATATAAAAATACTTACATTCTTTAGACTCAATATCCATGATGAACACACAATTTAAAAAAAAAAATAAAAAAAAAAAACGTAAATAAGTTAACTTATTAAAAAAAAATCGAAAAAATGTACACCTGTCTACTGTTTTTAAAAATAAATGTTCTAAAGGAGACTAACTGAAAGAATTTTATAAATACCAATTGCCTCACATCTCGGGAGATGAAGCCATTTTAATATGGTCTATGGCTAAGCAGTAGGGGATTGAGGGGGGAGAGATGCTTAAGGTTGGCGCCTATGAGTGGTTAATGTCTGTAGTGTATGAAAGGGAATATAGGTAATATATATATACGTATAAGAAATATAGGTAATATAGGTAATATATGTAATAAAAAAAATATATATAAATCTTTATATATTAATATTATTTACAAATAATTTTCGTAATACAAACATTTTATAAAATGTACAATGAATAGGATTTAAGTCCATATTAAATATACAACAGGGTAAACTGTCTCCCACACATAATTGATCCAATCTCAGACAGCCCAAGTCCATTATTAATAATGTCCACTTACAGAATAAATTCTTTGTTTAATTGTTTTTTCTGTTCGCCCTTAATATAAATGTGATCGAATTTCAACGAGTTCAAAATCCGTCCTAGCCCCTCGTATTCCACGTCACCATAAGCTTAAGTCATATGGTGAAAATTATGTTCGAGCCATTTATTCGTCTTGCGACTTTTTCCATTTTGAGCACAAGGTGAATTTTTGAATATCCAATGTTGTGTTGCCCACGTGTCAGTATCTATTATAGACATTTTCATGATTAGATACTTATTATCCGATCTTAAAATGCACTCGATATCTAGTATACCTGACGACATTGTGCTACACACGTCTTTCTAACACGAAGGTTTTATCTATACTGAGCGGCATACGCTTTTCTATTTTACTTAATCTAGAATCTAGATTGGAAATGGTAATTATACCTGCGATTAAATAATTTGCAGATGTTTCAATATTATTTATTTTTATCACTATTTCATCAGATTTTTTGTCGAGAGCGAGAAATTTGTTTTCTTGTATTTCCATCCAGTCGGTTATTTTTGCTATATCTTCTTGTAATGTTTTAATTGTTGCTACGAATCCGTCGATCATCTTATTACTTTCACACTCTAAAGTACTACCAAACACGTCCATGGTCAAAGTACGACTAATGTCATTTTTTTAAAACATTTGCATTTATCCAGCTATTGTGCAAGCTATCGAAACCTAGCCATTTAACGAGTGCACGGTCGCTATTTCTACGTACTATTTTTTCATCTAAATAATCGTGCGGAAAACTGGTTTTATTTATTTCCTCTGCATAAAAACATCCGGTTATAGGATTTCCTTTGTAATCCTCTAGCTGATATGTAAACGGTGTTGTATTATTTATTTTTACAACAGTAAAAACTTCAGTAGACCAATTAGGTAAATAACCTTTTGTAAACACACCCTTATTTACGCTAACTCGTACTTTATCACCCACTAAGTATTTTTTCTTTCTAACAGGTATATAACGTTGTTTTAATATTACCGATGATGGATTTTTATCAGCCTGTAATGAAGTCATTCTGATAGTTCGATGTTTGGAATTTTTATATTTTTCGATTAACTTTGGTAATAAAGAAACCCATTCGCGTGATCCGTGTGCGGTAAATGCTCGAAAACTATTTTCTTTTAGAGTACGGTTAAACCGTTCTACAATGCCTTAGTAGTACTAAACGTAGAATATTTTTTAACATTATGTTTAGCCATTAAAGTATCGAACGATAAATTCTAAAATTCTTTTCCATTATCAAGTTGCAATAACTTTGGTGACCGATAAGTTAATACATCAGACATTGCTTTTGTAACTTCTTTTCCAGTTTTTGATTTCAAAGGTATGGGTAAAGGTAAAGGTAAAATACGTATTTTGTAAAGCAGTCTATTACACATAATATATATTTATAACTTTTATTTTGTTTTGAATATGGTATCATTTCGACCAAATCAGCTTGCCATAAGTCATTTTTACCATAAACATTAACCCTACGTCGAATATAATTTCTCCTCGCCCGCTTGTGTAGCTCGAGTGTGATATCTAGTTTAGACATTTGGAATACATTTTATTACCACGGCTTCGAGCAATTCTTCGAAAATAGATAAGATCTCGTTTTCCACTCCAGTATTCCCAGCAGTTTTAGAAGCATAAAGTAATCGAAGACGATCGACTAACTCATTCGGTGAATTCCATTAGACTAAATTACTTTTCTGTAATGTCATCCGTAGTTCACTACTGGTTAGAAATAATTTTGAAATAATATTTATTTATTTTTTACCGTCTTTTTTTAATCTTGGATCCATCGATTGTTAAATGTGCCCTCGTTTGTAACAATATATACTTGTAAGAGTTTAGATCGTGTTGGGTATACGAGATCGGAGATTTCAAAACAATTAATTTTAAAAGACCTAAGTTTTTAGACCTAAGTAGTTAGCCGGTATTCTATTTTTATAGGATCTACAACTATTACTTTCTCACCAGTGAATTTAATAAAACATTTTTCCTAAAATGAATTGATTATAAATTTTCTTTGGACCGTACATTTTATCGAAATCGAGTGAATTAATCCAATTTTCTAGTAAAGATTCATAATTTTTTTTCGCGTCTATACTTTATTGAGTATCATTTCCTTCTTCTTCTTCTTCCTCTTTTTCTTCTTCTTTAATATCTTTTTTTATTAGTTTTCCGTTCTCCTCGCTCGGGTCTTTGGATTGATTAAGTGTTTGTAGTTGTATTTGGTTTAATGGATCGATTACTGGTTTTAACGTTTTTTCTACTTCTGACTAAAAGTCTGCTTTGTTATGTATTAATGCAGAATATTTTCGTTTTATATTTTCTTTTGCTTTTATAAGCTCGCACAATATTCTATAATATTCACAATACTCTATCTCGGGGCATGGTTACATAGTAAATGAGATATTTTCGTATAAACCACTGCTTTATAAAGCAACAAATGTATCGAACCCGTGATGATATCGTCAGTTATCTCGCTCGCATTCTTTACTAATTACAAAATTAAACCTTGCCTTAGCCCCAATATGAGGTACAAAAATCTTTAAACTCTTGATATTTTATATCACCGGAACAATGATCCATATAAACGTGTTTTAAATTAGTCTCGTCTTGTTTGAATAATATGATAAAATTACTATTGTCCTTGAGTAGTTGTTTCGGAACGCGAGCAAATGACTGTGCCAAGTAAAACACGTCTACTTGATTATATCGTCCACCCGAAAAATATGAACGTACGATAATTTAGTTTTCACAAATAATATCATCAAAAATAAACACAGAGTTTGGTAATGCTTTTTCCGGCGTGATAACCTTATCGTTTTCGTGAAACGTAAACAATTTAATCTCTTTTATATCGCTTAAAATCTCAAACAGCATTAGGTTCTCTAGTAAACGGTGCGGCTAGCGAAGCGAAAGCGATCGGTGAATTTAACAGAACTAAGCCGACACATTTGGGCAAAGGATTGTATCTCACTCCGCGTAAAGGCAGCAAGTATAAAATTACTAATGGGAAGGGGATGTTCCTCGCCCCGCATGAAAAAAACACTCGTGGAGAGCGAATGTTCCATATGCCGCATAAAGGGAGGGGAGCGAAAAAGTCGACAAATAAAAAAAAAACAAATTACAACGTTACCTGATAGAGCGCTTTATGATTACGAGATTATAAAATATGCAAACGCGATGAAAATACCGCACTTCAGAGGTGTATTTTCTAGATACCGGTTGCCTTTCGCTCCTAAACAAACAGAGTATGCGGTTATTAATCTCGATATAGATAATAGTAAGGGCACTCATTGTGTAGCGTATAAAAAGTTTGGAAAAAAAGTCGATTACTTTGACGGTTTCGGAAATCTGCCCCCTCCACTCGAATTACAAATATATCTCAAAGGGTGCGATATTAAATACAATTATAAAAGGGAACAGAAATTCAACTCGTACAACTGCGATCATTTGTGTATACGATTTTTAACATGTATACCATAACATTAAATGGAAATTCTAGTGAATTATAGTGTGTGATATTTCCCCCGTTGGAAGTTAAAAAAACATCACAACTATGCCTTTTGAGTTTACAAACGAATAATTCAATACCAAACATAGAACCCGGTTGTAATACTATACGTTTTCACGTTTCCGATGGAAATATTGAAACAGTTTTAATACCAACGAGTTCTTACGAATTGGACGTGTTAGAAAAAAATAATTCAGTCATTGGTAACCTCTAAAGTAGGCGAATTTAAATTACATGGAAACAAGAATACTTTGAAATGTGAAATGACATGTAGCAATAAAATAGATTTTACCGCAGAGGATAGTATAGCTAAATTGCTCGGTTTCAAAAATTAAATTTATGACAGCGACAAAGTACACGAGTCTAAGAAATTAGTGAATATTTTAAAAGTAAATTGTATAAAAGTAGATTGCAACCTGATAACAGGCCCATTATATAACGGGACACCGAATCAAACCATTTACGAGTTTTTTCCGTTCGTACCGGCCGGATATAAAATTGCTACCGAGACATTTAGTTTTTTATTCGCTACACACTACGACTATTCCGAAGTACAAATATCTTTAAAAGATCAAGAAAATAATTTAATACATTTACGAGGAGAAACAATTACGGTTCGTTTACAAATAACAAATGGCGCTTAAATTCAACGTTAGTATAAATAGACTTGTATAGAATAAAGAAATTAGTAATATACGAAAAGTTGAGTAGACAACACGTATTTTAGCAACGAATCATATGGAGAAAAAAAGTTAACTGCAGTAAATATACAACTTCTATGTTCAATAAAGGCGATTTAATGGACGATTCGTATTTAAACGTG